TCAACACATTTTCATTGAATATCAAACAAATAAAAAGTGCAATTAATACCAAAATGTTGGTGCTAATATAATCATATGTTGGTCTAGTGTATTTTAGTTTACTGTTGTGAAATGGAAAATCAATAATCGCTAATCGAGAATCGTTAATAATCGAAAATCGACTGTAATCGAATCGGGACTTCAATAATCGTAATCGAATCGAATCGGGAAATCAGACAGATTAACCACCCCTAGTAGCGGCACATAAAAACAATCCTAAAACCGCTAAGGAGCTGAGTGGAGGAATAACTTCTGTGACGCGTTTATCCTTGAAGCTTGCATGTTGGTTTATTTTGTACAGGTTTCACGTTTGCACGGTCAACAAAATCTGTGCTCCAGCGCTCACCCCCGTTCTTCCATATGAACACACACACACAACAGGTGTTTTAACCCCACTTAATTAATGACACTCCCATTATCGTTTGGTCACATGACTTTCCCATTACATGGCTCCTACATACCAGCCCCTAATTATTATAAATCGATAATTATATTAAATACACATAGGAGACATTTATAAATACAAGATCTCAAAATACAAAAACATTTTTTTACATCAATCGTAAATGTTTGCACATTTACAATACATCAATTATTCAGTACTGAGTCCTTGTAAAGTCCATAACAGTGTCAGTGAATTTACAAATCGATGCAAGGTGAGAAATATGTGGTGTGTCAGTGTGATAAGTGTGATAATTCCATGTCTGTGTTAAAAAGTAATTCTCTTTCAAGCAAAATGTCAAATATCCACCTCTTGCAGAAGGCAGATTTTTGTCACTGGTCTATTCAAACAGTTTGTCTTGGTTTTAAGTCTCACTTGACGAACAAAGCCTTGATGATCTGGGAATGTCTGAATCACTTTTCCAGTTATCCATGAATTACGTGGTGCTGAGTCATCAACCTAAAGCACGATATCACCTGGAACGAAGTTGCGAGATGGACCATTTTTGCCGCTCTTGCAGTTGAGGCAAGTACTCCTTTGTCCATCGTTTCCAGAACCGGTCTGATATATATTGCACCTGTTTCCATCGACGACGAGCATATATATCCTCCTTTTGAAAGACCCCTGGTGGCATTGATGGGGTAGTCTTTAACAGCAGCAAATCATTGGTGTCAGTGGATTCCTTAGTAATGGGACGTCCATTAATAATTGCTTCAGCTTCACATAGAACTGTATGAAGACCTTCTTCATCAAGGTTTTGTGTTCTTGAGGTGGCATTAAGTACTTTTCTTACAGACCTAATCATTCTTTCCCATATGCCTCCGTGATGTGAACCAGTTGGGGGATTAAAAATCCACTTTATCCCCTTCTGCAGAAGCATGTTGTTGATCTGAGATTGGTTCCAGCATTCAATAGCTTGCCTTAACTCGCGTTCCGCTCCATGAAAATTTGTACCATTGTCAGATTGCATTTCCAAGACTTGTCCACGTCTTGCGATAAATCGTCGCAGTGCGTTAATAAAGGAATCAGTATCCAATGATTGTACCACTTCAATATGAATAGCACGAATGGCTAGACATGTGAAGAGAACTCCGTATCTCTTCACAATACTTCTCCTGCTCTTAATTTCAAAGGGTCCAAAACAGTCGACTCCGACGTATGTAAATGGAGGTTTATCTGGAGATACTCTATTCAGAGGTAGGTTTGCCATCTGTTGATGCCCTGGAGCTGCTTGCAAACGCTTGCCGATCACACACTTGGACAATATCTTCCTTATGGCTCCACTGGCGCCAGGTATCCAGTACCTCTGATGCAACCTTGATAGCATATAGGCAAGGCAAGGCAAGGCAAGTTTATTTATATAGCACATTTCATACACAATGGCAATTCAAAGTGCTTTACATAGAAGAAATTAAAATAATCAAAACAAGTAAGAATAATTAAAACAGTTTAGAATAAAAAATCAAATAAAGTAGTACTGGTCCACCCCTATCTGAGATGGAAGAGATTGAGCCGGTTTACGGTGCATCTGGACCTCTAGCCCAGGGACGTACTCTGCTGGGGTGGTGCTACACCAGTAATGCCCAGCGGGGCCCCCACAGACGCCCCCTCTAGCCCAGGATGTACTCTGCTGGGGTGGTGCTACACCAGTAATGCCCAGCGGGGCCCCCACAGACGCCCCCTCTAGCCCAGGGACGTACTCTGCTGGGGTGGTGCTACACCAGTAATGCCCAGCGGGGCCCCCACAGAGCTTCGTGTGCGCTGTCTGCTGCCGTTACCCTTAACGACGCTCTCAGCGACTTCTTATACAGCAGTATAACTTACTCCTTCACTCGCCTCATCGGAGTGAAGACTCTCCCGCTCTCCTTCAAAATCTCTTCCAGAGATTATAAAATAAATAAATTAGAAATTAGAAAACAAACACAAAAACCAGTACAGTAAAAACAGTCGGACGGACAGTGGCACAGTGCTCATTCAGTAAATGCATAGCTAAACAGATGTGTTTTGAGTCTGGATTTG